TGTGTATTTACTGAAGAATTGCATGGTTTGAAGAAAACTAAATGGTCACATTGATCATATACCTGTTCCTTGTATAGTTGTTGCCATTGCTTATAGAGTATTTGGGCTATTGATCAGCATATTCTTTGGTCAATGCCTCTGCTATATTCCGTAATTAAAGTGTTACTGAAGGTAATACAAGAAACAATTTCTCTGTTTCCCACTGTATATTCAGACATTATGCTAATTTTTCATAGACATAGAATTCATAAACCAATTTCCTGCTGTTTCCATGAATATGTCCTAATTTCCTGAGGCAGGTCAATTATACTCAGCTGCTATTCAAATGGCTGATCCCTAAGCATGGTCAGGACCAGCTCTTTTGGAATCTGTTCATAAATCTTGTGCCCATCAGAGATTGTCTATTGCCCTTGCAGTGGTTTTGTTTCTGAGCTCTGACAGAGCTTTTGCATGTGTGCTGGGACTCGCTTTGAAGACAGGTACATACGAGTCCGCTATTCTTTCACTTAGTGCATACAGGTGTTTTGGACTAGGTCACTTACAGACCATTTACCGTGATCTACCAGTGAGCCAAATTAATATAGAATTACGTGCACGTGGAAGAAAGACACTGACACTGTTGCAGTTTGTCAACTTCCTAAAATTCTGTTTTATTGAGGAACTAACAGTATCATTTATAGAGCTTATGATGCAGGCAAAGCATATACATTGATTGGGTGAAAAGTCCACTGGGTTTCTGCGTGTTCTTCCATCCGTGTTGATATCTTCCAATCATTGTCCCCAAAAAGACTCATTCCCTTTTATGGGGGTTGTTTACATTAAAAGATACTTTTCTCCTAATGAGTCACCTAGGGTGAGACTCCGGATGAAGGCGCCATCTTAATTATCATCATTGTTCTGTCAACCTATATCTGATTGTTTACTTAAGAGAGAAAGGAATTTAAAGAGCAAGAAACAGACAGTAGCAAGACTATAAAATTGTCATTTTACTGATCATCTAATAGAACGTGGACTGTCTATCACAATCCACTACACAGGTGCATTCAAGTTCTCCCTCCGTTACTTTTTTTTTTTTTTTGTACGTTATTGCTTTGAAAAAAATCTCCATCTGCCATTCAGTAAACACAGGATCAGAAACGATGGGTAGTGGGTCATGTAACCATATAACATGGAAAAAGTTATTTAAATGCAGATTTGTTCATTATTTAAACATTAAAGTGTACAAGCAATGCTGGAGGTAGAAACTGGAGGTTGAAATCGTTTGGCTGTACTTCTGTAAATCACAGAAGTGCACCCCTGTGAGCTATTTTTCGTTTTTCGGCTGACATCACAGAGCTGGTTCAGGCTGGGGAAAGATCACAAACATATGGTCAGGATCCACCCAGGAGCCTGGACCAGCACCTGGCTCAGCAATCTGCTGAGAGCCTGAGCCAGCCGCTCCCGCCTCCTCCACAGTCCAGCAGTGACAGTCACTGTTCTCTGCTCAGAGTGGTAGGGAAAACTGAGTGATCAATGGTGTTTGATCGATCAGCTCTCAGTCTTAGAGCCAGCAGGGGACAGATGCAATATCAGATTGGTGCTGCATCCACCTAGGTAAGTATCACAGAACAGCACCTTGGCAACTGCAGATCAAACAGAGACTAAGATGGCAAGCTTCTTTGGCTGTAAAGGATAAGAGTTTAATTCCACTTTAACTTCATGACAGTGTGCCTATGGCAGTGTTTCTCAACTCCAGTCCTCATGGACCCCCAACAGGTCATGTTTTCAGGATTTCCATTATTTTGCACAGGTGATTTGATCAGTTTCACTGCCTTAGTAATTACCACAGCTGTTTCATCTGAGGGAAATCCTGAAAACATGACCTGTTGGGGGTCATGAGGACTGGAGTTGAGAAACACTGGCCTATGGGTTGATTTCTCTGTCTGCAAAATTACTAAATTGTTTGGGTAAACTTGTATAAGGTTCCAGATAGGAAAAGGAACTCTGAACCATCTGCTTTTGTGAGTTGTTTTTGAGCACATTGAGTTTGTGAATGTGGATTATTAAAAGGTAATTTTGTCACAAGCATGCAAATTCCAGGAGTCCATTAAATATATGCATTGGTTCTACGTATGATTAAAACTCCCCCTTCTTCCTTCCATCTAAGCACCAAAAACTTTGGTTTTTTTTTTGAGATTGCATTGCAAATTATCATTAGCTTGATTTTTATATTTTTGCAGTCCTACGCCAGATCAACAGCTGTAATGTCCATGGTTGGCTATATCATAGGTCTTGGTGACAGACATTTGGATAATGTTCTGATTGACATGACAAGTGGAGAGGTAGTTCACATAGACTACAATGTCTGCTTTGAAAAAGGTGAATATCCATACTTTTACTGTTTTAAATGACCAACACTTAGAACGGAGCAGTGTTTTCTTGATGCTTAATTCTGTATGTTTTTTTGTAGGGAAGAGCCTACGCGTTCCTGAAAAGGTTCCCTTCCGAATGACCCAAAATATTGAAAGTGCACTGGGCGTGACAGGGGTGGAGGGAGTTTTCCGTCTGTCTTGTGAGCAGGTACATACAATACTTTTAAATGTGCGCTGTTACAAGTATCACTATGAATTATGGCAGGGACAAATATTAACAGGTAATCTGTGTAATAGGTTATATTAATTTTGTTATAGCTTTGCTTAGAAGGAAATTTTTTTTTAAAAAGCACCATTAGAGGAAAGTAAACTTGTGGCATATTGGCATAGCCAAACCTATAAGGAAAACCTAGTGTTAACTAGAGGTTACTTTGTTGAGAAGCTCATATCAAAACCGGAAATATAGGTAGCATACAAATTTAGGTTTTTCTTTAATAATTTTACTTTGACCTAGGGATGCACCAATAATGGCATGCTGCGTCCTATAGCCTTCAATGCAAAATAGCGTCCCATAGACTTCAATGCAAAAAACACCCCCTAGTGACTTCAATGCAAACTTGTGTCCCATAGACACAAGTTTACAAAATAGTAACTCCCTAGTGACTTCAGTGCAAAATTGCCAGCTACAATAATTTACTTTTTTTTTTTTTACTTTTTCAAAACTGTCCATTTCGGTTTTCGGCCAAGTGCATCCTGAATTTTCGGTTTTGGCACCGGAATTTGCATTTAGCTGCACCACTACTTTGGCCCCATCCCTCCCGTCATTTGTTTATGTATGTAGAGTTTTGTGTAAATGGTATCTAGTATTTACTTTATCAAATTTAGTGATTTTTGTATGAAGGCAAGAGTGAACACTAGGTTGGTTGTTAGTTTAAGCTTCTAGGTGGAAAGAAGAATAATTTTAAAGAAGAAGAATTTACACCACTCAGCCAGGATGTTACATATGGGGTGTTACTCTTTCTGGCTCAGTTTGAGTATTTACACTGGACTCCAGCAGTGTAATTGATTATACAATAGCCTTTTAATACTGACATTGAAGCACATTTTTTGAAAAGCTAGTTGCTGCCTAATTTTTTCTACCAGGTTTAGTCCATGGCATTTGGGCCGGTCATCACAATAGGAGGTTTAAAGTGGTTGTAATCCGTTTTATTTTTTAATGTTCCCTACATGTAGGCTTATAATAAAGCTTACGTGTAGGTAAAATGAATATCTCCTAAATGTACATCGTTTAGGAGATGTTCTCTCTTCATTTAATCCGGTGTATGCACATACCTGTGCCGTTACTTCAGAGCTGTGTGCTGTGGCCCGGGACTCCCACATGCATGCACGGGAGTGGCGTCATTGCTGCCAGGCCTGTCAGAATGCCGGAGCTCGCGAACCCGGAAGGAAGACTGGTGAAGATGGACAGCGCGCCGCTGGAGGGCTTTGTTTTAAGGTAGGTTTTACATAATGTGCTAGTACGTGATGCATACTAGCACATTGTCTTTACCTTGTAGAGACTTTACTTTTTTTTTTTTTAACGGACGCGGTTTACTTCCACTTTAATTCTAATATTGCAGGAAATTATTTGATCGTCGTCCACATCAGCCTCTCTGACACTTGAAAGTTAGCAGAACTGATAAAACTTCAGTTACATTTTGTTAACTCTTAGTACTGTACTGCTAATATTAATGGCTAAATTCACTTTTAGAATAAAATTTACTATACGGTCAAGGGGTCCCAGTAGTTTAAAATAATGTACATTTGCTTAAATGCATCACCTGTAAGCAGTGAACAGAATCCCCAAAGCCTACCCAAAAAACTTCCATTGTATGTTGTCAGCCCATTTCATCCTTGAACGTTTTCCTTTAAAATCCCTTTTTGGGCCCAATACATTCTGGATGTTTGTTCGTCTCTCATAGTTGCCTTTCCTCCTGGCACCAGCGATTTGGCAGAAAAAACATTTGATGCATGTATTGCATTAAGGCACATTTAGGCATGTCAGATGGTTTGCGTTAATTCATTTCATTAGCCAGAATAATAATTTAGCTCTAAATGTGCCTAGCGTTATCGCACGTTTAGATGTGTTTGCACATCAGGCTCTTTTTTTGCCAAAACACTGCTGCTTTTGGATGGGCTGGCAGTGGGTTTTTTCTGCCTCTTAATGCTTTTAAATGCTGGTGTGTGCAAGAACACATAAGCTAATATGCAGAGGAGTTTGAGGGCAGAAAAAAATGCCAGATGCCCCTAATAGCGTTAAAAACTTCCAGTGTGTATGAGGCCTAGATGTTATCTAGTTTGTTTTGCTTAAATAGCTGAACTGTTTCTTAGTTCTGTTAGCATACACAATTGTGTTTTGACATCAGGTTCTCCATATAATGAGAAGAGGAAGAGAGACATTACTGACATTGCTTGAAGCTTTTGTTTATGACCCTCTTGTGGACTGGACTGCAGGGGGAGAGGCGGGATTTGCAGGTGCAGTCTATGGTGGAGGAGGACAACAGGCTGAAAACAAACAAAACAAACGAGAGATGGAAAGAGAGATCACACAAAGCCTCTTTTCCTCCAGAGTGGCTGAAATAAAGGTAACATTTCCTTTAAATTATTTTCTTTTGACTTGTAGGTTTAACAGATTATGGTTTTAAACTGATTTTAATCATGCAGTACACGGGCTTTGAGATATCAAAGTCTGGACTTGGGGGAGTGGTCCTTGCACCCAGAGATTTTCCGGATACTTTGTCAGAACTAGGAAACACCAAATGTGAATATGGCATTCGGATTCATCAAGAAACTGGACAGAATTGTGGTCAGATCCAGGGATCCTCTAGCCTTCGCAGTGGGTGCCCTGGTGATTCTTTGGTGCCTTTTTCAGATTGGTGTATGCATTTTTTTCATTGAAGATTCTCTTTCAACTTGTATGCAAGATAGAGGGGGATTGAATTCCAGTGATGCTCATTGCTCCAAATTGGCTCGGGAAGTTGGTACACAAACCTGCTCAGATGCTGGACCCCTCACATGGCCCTGTGTTCTACCCTTCTTTTCAGTTGCTGACTTTAATTGCATAGCTGTTGAAACCCAGGTCCTAAAGGATCGGGGCATTGCTGATGTGCATTACCACCTTGCTCAAGGGCAGAAAGTCTCTTGTTAGGATCTACCATTGTACCAGGATGTGAGGTAATTTTATATCTATTGCAATCCAGTCTTCCTTCAGTCTTGTCTGAATTATTTTCTGGCTGTTAGCACTCTAAAGGGAAAGGTTTCTGCTTTTTTTTTTTTTTATTCTGTTCTGGACACATTTGTCTTTGCACTCTTTTCAAAACCTGTATACAAGGAGTTTCTCATGTTAATCTCCCACTCCCACCTCCTGTGCCCTCATGATAACTGAATCTGGTACTTTTGGTTCTATAAAAACCTCCTTTTGAACAGATTTGGGATATCCCATTGGGGATCTTATGAGTAAGGCCCCTTTCACACGAGCGTTCTCTGTCCGTTTTTTTCATCCAACCGTTGATGAATGAAAAATGGACATCAATGCATCTCTATGGAAAAAATGTTAGCGGATAATCCGTTTGCATCTGCATTCATCAACATCCATTTTTTTAAATGAATCAAAGCCCTATTTTTGTTCCAGTACAAAAAAAAAATGAAACAGATGAAGAATGGATGTAAATGTACAAATGGTTCATTTTTGCATTAATATTGGGTGTAAAAAACTAATGTAAACTGAATCCATTTTTTCTTTAAAAATACATGACTGAACTGAGAAAATGAACCTAAGGTGGCCATTACCTCTGTCAAGCATGTCTGAGTTGATGGCTCTTTTGTAAACAGCATTTTCTTGCCTTTCATATTGACAAGGTGGTCCTAAGACCCAGGCCCTCTCTCACTTTCACCTCAATGAGTATATTGTCCTCTCTTCCCCTATTTCCTTATATCCTGATCCAAAATGCACAAAGTAATTTTCACTTAGCTGCCTTGATGTGGTCAGAGCAGTTGGTCTATATAGCTGTAACATCTTCCTTCAAGAAAACTCGCTTTTGTCCTCTCTGAATGTCCCAAGAAGGAACATACTGCTTCCTTTTCCACCATTGCTAGGTGGCTCAGGCAGCTCATTTCCAGTTTTATGCCATCAAGGAACAGGTTCATCCCTTCTTATCTGAGCTCATTCCACCAGTTCTGTCTGTGTTTCTTGGGCCTTTCAGCATCAAGCTGGAATGCAGATGTAAATCCTGCGCATGCTATTCCATTCCAAAATACTCTGCTGAAAATCCGTCAAATTCATTAAAACAGAGAATAGTTCGCTAGCATGTTTTAGCCAATCATAGCAGCTTATTCGTACCATCCATTTTGGAATGGAATGCCCGTGTGCAGGATTTATATCCTAAATTATTGGAGTTCAAGACGGGCAGAGGTCCTTCTGAACTGCAGCATCTCTCTCCATCTCTCTCTACAGCTGAAATGCGAACCAGGTTGAGCAGATATACGCCTTGTTCTTCATATATTTCGCAGGTTTGCAAGGTCGCTACCTTATCTGCTGTTCATACTTTCTCAAAGTTTTACTAGGTTGATCTTCAGACCTCTGCGGATGCTAGCTTTGGCTGCAAAGTGTTTTCGTTGACCTTTGGTGTTTGCAGGCCTATTTTCTGCTGTTTGCTATGTTGTTGCCCTTCATTTTATTGCTGTGGGGATGTTCCACGGTCTGACTCCCTTTCCTATAATGTACTATTAGGATAATTGGAATTATCACCCACCAGTATATTTCAAATCTTGGATGCAGTTCCCTACCATGGTACAAGACACAGGTTCCTCCTCTCTGTCCTGCAGTCTCATAGGACAATCAGGGGAGAATGAAAACTCCTCCTACAAGCTTTAACAAGTGCGCTGCTGGACACTGATAGAAGTCACAAGATTGCTATATACTGCTGGTGAGGTAAAGGTATTTAGCCATTTGTATTTACTAATATAATTGCTTTTGCGCATTCTGTGGGGGACCAAATGTACTGAATGCAAGGTTTTGGGTTTAGTAACACTTGACGTTTTTATGGTTTCACCTATTTGCTTAATGGCACTGACCTTTTTTCCCTAAAGTGTTTTTTTTTTTTTTTTTGTTTTTTTTTTTCTGTGCCTACTGCAAGTCCTCATTGGTTGTGAAAGACTTCTCTTACTATCGTAATAACATTTCATTTTACAGGTGAACTGGTTTAAGAACCGGGATGAGATGCTAAGTGTCCTGCCTAAGCTAGACAGTAGCTTGGAGGAATATCTAAACTTACACGAAGAATTAACAGAGGTGGAAAAGCTGCAAACCCGACTCATGGAGGAGATGACCTTCCTGGAAGGAGCTGAAGCCTCAGATCATCCTGCTCATACACTGCAGCACAGGTTTGTGGTTGTGGACTTTAGCCTACCTCCAGTCAAGTTCCTGTTGCTGTGTGTCTTTCTATTGGGGCTATTTCAGGGGCAGGGCAACAAGGGATGGGAAAATGTTCCAATCAAGACACAGGAAAAAAAACTTTTGTACAGTAAGGAAGAAGTTAGCAATTTTGGAAGTGCTTTTATTTCTGAATACCAGATGCACAATAAGAGCTTTGTGTGCTTCTCAATGTAAAACCTGGGGGAAATATGTACAGTGTGTGTATATATATTTCAGATTTTTTTGGAGGCCAAAGGAGAGATATGTGGTCTTCCCTTGTGATAGTGGTAAAGTTGATTTAAAAAAAAATAAAAGTACAGTGTAAAAAAAAATTTAAGTGCTCCAGTCTCCGTTGGTCATGTGCAAATGTGAACAAACAGGTAGGTTCTGCATTTATATGTAAATAGAGATTGCACCACACCTGAGGTATTGCCAAAAACACCAGAGTGGGAGCAAGGATTCTAGAATAAGACCTCCTGTGTAAACTGGTCGTCTATAGATAGGGCAACTGGTCTGAAGTGTCACCTATAAATTTAATGTACTTTCATTCCATGGACGCAGCTTTAATGCATGACATGTTTGGTATTTGTTTACTTGGCATAATATCTTCTATATTACTGAAAATTTTGTATTCACTAAAATTCATCAAAGTGTGTTTCTTTTATGTTCATTGAAGGACACAGCTTCTTCTCATTCATGAACATAGTAGATTCTAGGCAGAAATAGATCATCACACTGCCTATGAGCAGTCCTAGCTGTTATGAACCCTTTCTCTGCTATAGGCAATTCATTTCCTTTGCTTAGTTTAGAGTAGTGTGGAACTATATCCCAAGACCTATTGTTCCAAAGTTGTTCCTTTTTTTTTCCTGGGATTTTTTTCCTGACGAGATCTTAAATCAGCAGCCATGCTGAGCAATAAGCTGGATAATCTGGATTCAGCAGTCAACCCAGCCTGGCCAGTAAGCGCACGCAGACCTTTAGCTATGCTCTGGCTTGGCTACAGCAACCCCATCTTTGCCCAGGGCAGGCAGCAAGTTAAACATCTCACGGGGGCACACATGTCTGGGCACCTGATGTCCTTGGCAGTCTTACCTTGGCAACAGCCCCCCCACACACACCTCAGTGGGAGGCAGATCTGTCTTGAGTGTGTTACCCACTATCTTCGCTCGCTGGACTGGTAAGTAGATGCCCCCCTTTTACCTAAGGCACGGTGGAGGGCTGCAGGTACGCCCTAGGTTGGTTTTTTTTTTATGCTTGTTGCCAGCTGGTTGGGTGGCATTTATTTAGGTACTTAATCCTTTCAAAGAAGTGGAGTTCTCCTCCTGTAGTGGATCCCCCATTTCTAGACACAATACAGCAACCATGATACCGAAGGATCCTGCAGACCGTAGGTGGAATCGGTCACCTGTGCATTTTATACAATTTCCATTTCGATACAGCGTCCAGTGTTGGCCATGACCCTTGTGTCTCAGACACTTCCTGAATGGGCTAAGCTCTTACGCTAATGTCTGTGTGAAGGGCACATGCACCCCGTTTACATGGAACTGGCGGACCAGTTGGTCCAGGGCCTCCAGTATGTGTGTGATGTATCTTTGGATGCGGACGTGTTTTTAAAGCTCTCTGTCTTGGCAGTGGTGCTTCAGCGGGTTATTTGCTCAAGTGTTGGTCTGCTGACCAGATATTTAGTAAGACCCTGGTTGTCTTGCCCTTCCAGGAAGAACATATCTTTGCTGCTACCTTGGATAACATTATTAAGAGACTTTTTCGTTCCCCTGGCTCCTCGGGCAGAGGATCCAAACCCTTCAAGGTACTCCTGGCCACACAAGCCCAAGAAGTTTTCAGACAAGTTCTCCTCAGCATGCAGGCTTGCCCCCACCTGTTTCCAGGGTGGTTTGACTTCGCTGGTTCACAGGCCCATGAACCTCCCTGCTCTCCAACAACTGGGTCCACAAACTGATTTTGTCCAGATACAAGATTTCATTCCTGTCCACCAGAGAAATTCTTTCATTCTAATTGTCATCTCTCCCTGTCTCGCCTACGAGCTCTTTACAGGGCAGAGCAGGATCTGCAGCATCAGGCAGCGATGGAATCTATCAGTTTGGTGGCCTCCCTTCATCAAGGGGTTTCCTGTCCTCCATAGACCTCAATGATGCATACCTGCACATACCCATTTGTGCCTGTGCAGTGGAGTCTTGGAGTTGAGGTGGGCTCAGAGGAGGTGCAACTACCTATCAGTGTCCTGGTGCTGCAGGCTATCAGGTATGTCTTGAGCGGTGGACGAAGCCTCTTCGCGGGCTCCTGGTCAGGATCCAACCAGACAGTGTTACGGCGATGGGTTTTATCAACCACCAGAATGGTTCGCGGAGTGCAGCAGTGGCAATGGAGGCCTAATTCTTTCATTGGTGGGCAGAGCTTCATGTTATGGCCATCTCTGCTGTGTACATTCCAGGTGTACAAAACTGAAAGAGGACTACCTTGATCATCAGAAGCTGGGTCAGGGAGAGCTGTTCCTGCATATGGATGTGTCTTAAGATATCTGTCTGCACTGGGGCAGCCTAGACATGGATTTTCTTGTATTCTGCTTCAAAAGGTAGGTGTCGAGGGTTGCAGCAAGAGCGAGGGGCCCTCTGGCGGAGGCGACAGATGTATTGGTGGCGCCCATTTTCATTTGCTACGCATTCCTTCCTTGTCTTCTGCACACAATAGAGGCCAAAGGGACTCCGGTCATTCTGGCGGCTCCAGTTTGACCTTGTCCACCCTGTTAAAATAATGTAGTAAGGCCAGTTACAGAAGTTCCCTGGCGGCTGCCTCTTTTGGAAGATCTTCTGTACGCGCAATGTTAAAGCCATGACATGTGTCCATGCCCTTAGCATCCTAAGGAGATTTCACTGCACTGCTTGCATGTGGTCCTGGCAATTCATGTGTACCTGTCTGCTACAGCTTCCTTCTGGAGATTGGATTCTTTTTGTGAATTCGGATGGCCCATAAGGAGCCTTGTGGCCTTCTCTACCCACCATTTCTCAATGGATTAGGCTGACTTTTTTTTTTTTCAGGCTTCTGCTATTAGGGCTTCGGGCTCTTCCCTTCCCTGTTACAGCGCACTCTACCAGGGTGATTAGTGCCTCCTGGACGTTCCGACATCAAGCGGCTACCTGTTCATCTGTGCATAACCATACCAAATTTTACAAGGCTAATGTGTTTTCATCTTTGGGTGCTTGATTGAACTGCAAGGTTTTGCAGATGACTTTTTGAAGTTACTAATTTCCTCTTTGTGGTATGTTTTCGGGTGGTTGCATGTTTGCCACTGTTTATCCCACCCCTCATTGAGGCACTGGTTTGGATGTCCTTATGGTCAAGAATGAGAAGAAGCTGTGTCAGTCAATGAATGTAAGAGAACAGGATTTGTTTTTGTTATTCGTAAAATCCCTTTCTCTGAGTTGAGATGGACGCAGCACCCACCCCTCTATTTGGTTCTTTTTTTTTTTTTTTTACTTGTACTGCTTTGTGACTGACCTGCCTATATAGAGCAGAGAGGGTGTTTGTATCAACTAGGACTGCCCATAGGTGGCGCTGTGTTCTTGTTATGCCTAGTGTCTTACACCTGTCCGTGACACTATGAAATAAACCCTTTAATCAAGAATGAGAAGGAGCTGTGTCTGCCAATGAACTCAGAGAAAGGGATTTTTACAGTGAATAACAAAAAGTAATCTTTTTTTTTTTTTTTCTGGAAAAAAATATAAAATTGCAACACCTGCAATGTTGCTGTCCAGCATCTTTGCTTTCAGAAAATATTTTTTAGGAGTTCTAAGTAATTTTCTAGCAGATTTTTTACATGTATGTATGATATGTCAGAATGTAGGTGGCACTTTTTAACTGAATAGTCTCTGAATTTGTGTCCCTCCAAGAAATGCATTTTATGGCAAGTACAAAAATCCCATTACATAATTTCCCAATACAAAAAATAATCTACTTTAAATACTAGCCCTTCCATCTATTACTGCATATTAAAGCAATTTAAACAGATATATTAAGCTCAAAAGGAACGTGGAAAAACTTGTACTGCATTGTTTTTTTTGTCAGCAGGTATGTCCCTTTAGGTAGGAACCTCCTCTAAATATGGATAGCCTTTCTAATGTTATGCATTACTTGTATTTGCCCATAGCAATCTTAAATATAAGTAAATGTTGCTTCATTTGTTCTTTTTAATTTAGGTATTCAGAACACACCCAGCTTCAGACTCAGCAGAGGGCAGTCCAGGAAGCCATCCAAGTGAAGCTGAATGAATTTGAGCAGTGGATCACACAGTATCAAACTGCCTTCAGCAATCTGGAGGCCACTAAACTGGCAGGCCTACTTCAAGAAATAAGCAGCCAGATGGATTTAGGTATTTAAAATCTCATTTAAATCTTTTGTTTAACATGTCAAAATTAATCCTACACCAAAACTCCTAATATGCTTTGTAATTTAAGACTTGGACAAGCAGGGCAGTGTTTACCTGTGTATAAAGTTGTAAAGCTATTTAATTTGGAAATAATTTGCATATGTTATCTGTTTGAATATGTAGTGGGTTTTTTACATTTAGAATTCTTTTGTTCAACCTGGTAAATATGAAATTTGCCATATACAATTTTTCTTTCTGTGTTTGAGCCGGCAACTGAAGTCTTAAGTTCTTAATCATACATCACAGGACAAAGGATCTCTTCTCATTCCTGAGTAATTGGTTTATGCTGCCATCCACAGGCGAACACTGGCTAGAAATGGCAGGCTTCTCCCTTCCCGGCACAGCCTCAGTTTTTTGTTAGTCTCCTTAGGTGATACATGTGTGATTTCTCTCTGAAGTCTTTTTCTATCTGCGTTTGCCTGTGAATTTACTGTGTGCTTCATACTTCCCTGATGAAGCAAAGGAAGGGCTTTATCCAGATTGGTCACTCACAGCCCTAACCCTGCTGCTGAAGATTCATAATGGCCTGTAAGGTAACAAGGGTACCTAGTATCTAGTACCAACACTGGCAGGGTGTACAGGTGAAACTCGAAAAATTTGAATATTGTGCAAAAGTTAATTTATTTCAGTAATGCAACTAAAAAGGTGAAACTAATATGAGACTCATTACATGCAAAGCAAGATAGTTCAAGCCGTGATTTGTCATAATTGTGATGATTATGGCTTACAGCTCATGAAAACCCCAAATCCACAATCTCAGAAAATTAGAATATTACATGCAATCAATAAAACAAGGTTTGTACATAGAACAATATCGGACCTCTGAAAAGTATAAGCATGCAGATGTACTTAGTACTTGGTTTGGGCCCCTTTTGCAGCAATTACTGCCTCAATGTGGTGTGGCATGGAAGCTATCAGCCTGTGGCACTGCTGAGGTGTTATGGAAGACCAGGATGCTTCAATAGTGGCCTTCAGCTCTTCTGCATTGTTCGGTCTCATGTCTCTTATCTTTCTCTTGGCAATGCCCCATAGATTCTCTATGGGGTTCAGGTCAGGCGAGTTTGCTGGCCAATCAAGCACAGTAACCCCACGGTCTTTGAACCAGGTTTTGGTGCTTTTGGCAGTGTGGGCAGGTGCCAAGTCCTGCTGGAAAATGAAATCCAGCATCCCCATAAAAGCTCGTCTGCGGAATGAAGCATGAAGTGCTCCAAAATCTCCTGGTAGACGGCTGCTTTGACCCTGGACTTAATGAAGCACAGTGGACCAACACCAGCAGATGACATGGCTCCCCAAATCAACAGACTATGGAAACTTCACACTGGACTTCAAGCATCTTGCTGTGTGTGCCTCTCCATACTTATTCCATACTCAAGTTGCTCTCATCAGAAAAGAGGACTTTGGACCACTGAGCAACAGACCAGGTCTGTTTTTCTTTAGCCCAGGTAAGACGCTTCTGATGTTGTTTGTTGTTCAAGAGTGGCTTGACAAGAGGAATACGACATTTGAAGCCCATGTTCAGGATCCGTCTGTGTGTGTGTGGTGGTTCTTGATGCACTGACTCCAGTCTCAGTCCACTCCTTGTGAAAGTCCCCAACACTTTTGAATGGCCTTTTCCTGACAATCCTCTCCAGGCTGCGGTCATCCCTGATACTTGTGCACCTTTTTCTTCCACACTTTTCCCTTCCACATAACTTTCTATTAATGTGCTTTGATACAGCACTTTGGAAACATCCAACGTCTTTTGCAATTCATCTTTTGAGGCTTTCCCTCCTTATGGAGGGTGTCAATGATGGTTTTCTGCACAACTGTCAGGTCAGCAGTCTTTCCCATGATTGTGATTCCTACTGAACCAGACTGAGAGACCATTTAAAGGCTCAGGAACCCTTTTCAGGTGTTATGGCTTAATTAGCTGATTAGAGTGGGACACTTTGAGCCTAGAATATTGCACCTTTTCACAATATTCTAATTTTCTGAGATTGTGGATTTGGGGTTTTCATGAGCTATAAGCCATAATCATCACAATTATGACAAATCACGGCTTGAACTATCTCATATATTAGTTTCACCTTTTAAGTTGCATTACTGAAATAAATGAACTTTGGCACAATATTCTAATTTTTTGAGTTTCATCTGTATACAGGTTCAGGACAGTGATCCCCCTAAGGGAAGTTGTATCCCTGATAGCTGCTCACCCTCCTTGGCTACTGAATGTTCAGAAATCAGCACTGGCCCTGACACAGCATCTGGTATACTTGAGCTTAGTTCTGGGCACGGCTTAGTCAAAGGCGCTCCTCCTTCGGCAAAAGTGCCTTTCTCTCTGAGTTCAGGTGGACTTCCTGCGGTCTTTGGGAAATCCCTCAAACTGCTTTTATGAAAGTGCTGGGGAAGATGGTGTCTGTCTTCAGCGGGGTGCCATATGACCAATTTCATGCCAGATCTGCGGTCAGCGACTGATCTTCCGTCCTGCTTTATGGTCGCTGGTTTTGAAGGCATGGTTGTTGAGAGACGCCTCCTGAGGGACAGGGGTGTTCTGACATTTAGTCCTACCGTGATAGAAATCAGCCTATGTCTGTAGCCCCTGTCCTCGTTATTTTCACCCTAAGGCCTTGGAGAAATAAAGCTCCAGACACCGAAGTGTGCAAGCTAAATCACTGAAAGTTTAATACAAAACAAGAACGGTTATACAGAACTCAGTAGGCGTTGCTTAATCTTAGGATGACCAATGAAACATTCCATTCTTATCAATATAGTTACGTGAAGAACAGAAACTGCAAATAGTTGAGGCATACCATATAAGGTAGTTCCGTTTCATCGGAAATGGAAACTATTTTCAGAAACGAGAGAGGAGTTACAAAATCAAAACTAACTGTTCACACATGTAGAAATGGAGGCATTATACAAAATGTATGCCAGTTAATAAGACATATTTGCTTACAGTTCCTCTTTTGTAACATAGTGACAACACATTACATTTCACATTTTTTTCCAATATAAATCTGGGTTCTTTAAAAACTTGTTAAAAATATACATACAATGTTTAGCAAAAACATAAATATTAGTAAAAAAACATAAAATCAGCATGCCTACTTTCTTAAACCATCGAGCTGGGCTCTATGATTCTCAGTGACTTCATAGTAATCTGGAATCTCAGCAGATGTGTTATGTATCTATGTACAACACTCATAGTTAGTAGTAGACTCGCACAACTCGGTCAATGATGTACCCATTTGTTCTATTTTCATTTCATTCATGAGCACCTGTAGCTATGATTCCTATGTATTTTTTTAATCTATTCCTAGTGGTATTTACTTGTACAAAGTTTCCATCCACAGGTACCTTCCCTGTGACATTAAGTTTAGACTTACTACAAAATTCTTTCCTTCATTTGATTTGCCTAAATGAAAACACTATTCAGGTTCCATCATAACTCCCAACGCTTCAAATTTAGGCCTTGTAGTAACATTTGTAAGTATGATACTCAGATTACCACTAAACATTGATGTCACATTTTTTGGTGCAGCATATAAAAGAATGTTTACGGCTTCAGGGTGGAGCATACTGCAAACCCAACAACTCTCAATTCCCAAAATCTTGGCATACCTATACTTTTCAATAGTGACATATTTTCAGTCAATGATCTTTTCTGCTCTTTTTTTATTCAGTGTCATTCACAGTCTTACTGTTGTGGCCACAAATTGGTGGCCATTCTCCTGGGTGATAGTATAAGTGGCTGGCCCAGTAAACCACTGAGAAAGTGATCACTGAGAGATAACCCGATCAAAAGAAAATTCTTCCAAGCTGTCTCTGGATGAAGCAGCATCCTGAAGATTGGAGAATGTTTATAGTTCTGTCTCCTTTCCTTATTCCATCTGTTGCTCCTGGTTCTTTGATGGTTCCGGGATCCTCTTTACTCTAGAAACATGTATCCAGATATTGGAGTCCACAGTCAGAACTGCGGTTCTCATCACAGCCATCACTATGGTAGGTTCCCCGTATGGCGGATCTGTGGTCTTGTGTCTGTGAAGGTCTTTAACCACTACCCGATCTCCTGGCTTACACGGGTGGGTTGGATTATCTGTGGGGAAAAAAAGAAAATGAGAGACATCACCGTATACACCATTCGACACCCTAATCAATTACTGGACATATGTTTCCTGAATTAATTGAAAATCACTTGGCATAACTACCAAAGGATCTTTTGTCCAAGGGCTGGGGAATGGCTTGCCCATAAAAATTTCAAAAAGGAAAATTTGGTGACTTTATTAGGTGTCATCCTCATCTCAGCCAGCACAGCTGGCAGATACAACTCCCATCCCTTAAATGTCCCACCTGTTGCCTTCCTTAGTTTTTCCTTTGGGTCCTATTTGCCCGTTCTACCTGAGCAGAACTCTGTGGATGGTAGGGTATGTGGAACGTCTATGCTCATCAGTTTGGCTACCGGTTTTGGAACCATGGTGGGGTGCCCAACCCTTTAAGAATTCTCGAAGGGCCATGAAATATACAGCCGGAGAATTCACGTAGCCTTAGGGCAATCTGGCCCAGGTTAACTGTTTGTTGGCCAGAGTCAAACTTAACAGTAGTCTCTTCGTCAACTTGGACGGAATAAAAAAAAAAACTTTGCTTAAATCGATCATGGTATAATACTGTATATCGTGTGGAATGGAGGTAATCAAAGAGGGCACATTTAGTATATTGGACCAACTCCAGGTTTGAGTCTGGCCTTGTAAAATGTACAGAGAATATACCCCACATCTAGCGTACTGTTGGCCCATACTTCAGGCTTCACTTTGTCTAAATTTTTCATGCTCACAAAACAGCGAGATGACTCCATATGCACCCCTCCCTTTTCACTTACTCTGATTGTGGTCTTGAATTTTCCCAACAGATCTCTGCCTAGCATATTCACAGGGCATCCTGATATGATTTTGAAAGAATGTTTCACT